TTATAAAGTCTATTAAAAGTTTACTAAATAGATAGGATAGTTATAATAATAAATTAAGTTTACTATAAGGTCTATATCTTAGTGCTATAGTATCTTAGTATATTAAATATTCTTTAATATATACTTTAATATTATTTTATATATTTATCTAATAGAATTTTTACTTTAGTAAAGCCTCTATATGGTTTCTACTAAAATAACTAGCTAGTAATTTATTATAATAGATACTAATTAATTAGTTTCTTAATTATTTAGTATTAGATATAAATAACTTATCTTTAAATTATAAGAGGTCTTTAGAATTAATATTCTAATATTTTTACCCTATAGCATCCTACCTAATAATAGTAATTTAGTATTAAGCCTTAATTTCTTTAGTTTATAATTATTTTATTAAACCCTTTAGATCTTTAGTAGTTTTATATTTATAAATATTTTCCTCTTGAGTAGTACACTTAACTAAGGCTTATAGTATTAAATAGTTATTTATTAACTACTATAGATTATCTTAGTAAATCACCTCTTACTATAGGTAGTCTTTATAATTATAGAGCTCTAATAGTATATTACCTAGCTTTAGTTTATAATTATCTTAACTCTTAGTCCTTAGTAACTATATAGTAACCATTTACTAATAAATTAGTATAATAATATTATTATTATTAGACTATAATATAGTCTAATTACTATACTATCTTATAGGTATATTAGTAGGGTTAGCCTTTCTCTTTTAATATTTAATAATAAAATTAAATAGTATTAATAAAATTAACTAATAGGCCTGTCTACTATTTAACTTTAGTTATTTTATAAAACCTTATAGATTAGTATAATTAGAAAGGACCTTAATCTAATATATAGCTCCTTTAGTATATTAATACTAATATTTAAAGGAATAAATAATAATAAATAATTTCTTATCTAGTATTACCTAATTTAGTTTAGCTTCTATAAACTTTCTTAACTAGAAGGTAACTAGATGCTATCTCTCTTATTTATCTAATTAGGAGAGGATACTAGCTATATTATTCTTTAAGATATCTATCTCTATTTAAATTAGTAGAGCTAGATTAAAGTAATATAAAAGTAGTACTATCTAAAAGACTATAATAAGTCTTTAAAATATAAGCTTTTTAATAAGACTAAACTTTACTAATCCTAGTTTCTTTCCTTCTTTTATTCCTCTTAGGAGATTAGTTAAAGATAAAGTAATTAAGGAATAGTTCTTAATAAATTATTAATAGAAGTTATAGAAGCCTAAGAAGACTTAAATATTATAATAATTATAGGATTCCTTCTATATAATAATAGTTTCTACCTAGCTTATATCCATAGATACACTATTAGCTAAAATAATATATCCTAGGAATTTAATATAATTTTAGTAAAAGGTATATTTAGAGGGTTTAGTATAAAGCTTTACCTTCTATAGTCTTTCTAAGACTTAAGAGATATATTTAGTATATTCCTCTCTTATTTAGGAGAAGATTAGGATATTATTAAGATAGGCTATATAGAAGATATTAAGAATATTATATAAGGTAGTATTAATATAATTCTAGAAGGTAGCTAGTATATTTATAAGGCTAAAAGGCATAACTATATACTTATAGTAGCTATATTAGATATAAAAGGCTATTTTCTATTTATCTCCTTCCTTAATATAGATTTAATAATATATATCTTAAATATCTATCTTACTAAAGTATTTTACCTCTAAGATTTAGTTAAGAATCTCTAATATAAGGAGTAATTACTATTATTTTATTAAGTCCCTAGTAATCTATATATAGCCTTAACCCCCTATCCTTTTTTAGGATAAAGAGAATAGGGGCTCTAGTAGGGCTTTTAGAAGGTTAAATTCTTCTATATATAATATTCTTATCTAGATACTCCTTTAATTTATGAAGTTCTGCTTAAGATAAGGGATATAGTAAGCTAAATAGTGGTAATTTATTAGATTTTATTTTAATAGTATAATCCTAAGAGGAATAAGAGGGTATAATCTTTAATTTCTCTACTAAGAATATATTATAGAAACTAACTAATTCTAGAGGTATATTTTTAAGAGAGTAATATTTCCTATTTTTCTCTTCTTCTAAGAGCTATACCTCCTTAGGTAATTTAACTAATATAAATATAGTTATATAGTTATAATATAGTTTTCTAAACTTCTATAGGGTTATTAGGGAAAAGGTTAGTGTCTTAAACTACTATTAGTAATTCTATAGTAATAGATAATTATAAAGGTCTTATAATATAGTTATTAAAAGAAGGATAGGACTTCCTTTAGGTTATAAATCCTAATTAATAGCTATATAAGCTTATTTAAAGCTTTGCCTAATGCCCCTAGAATTATAGGTAATAATAGGAATCTTCTAAACCCTATAAGTAAGAGTAATAAAGTTATTAACTATCTTAATAATAAGGGTAGTAAGTTTAGCTTATTATAGCTTTTATAATTTTATAAAAGTAATACTAATAATATTAACCTTAGTATAGCTATTAAGATTAGTATATATTTTAAGGCTATTAAGTAGCTATATTAGAATATAAAAATAACTAGTAGTCTCTACTTCTAGGTAGGAGGTTAGAGGCATAGGTTTTACTCTAATCTTTTATTATTTTCTATAATTAATTAGACTTTAGCATCCCTTATAATATATTAGTTAGTAAGATATTCTTTACTACTATATTTATAATATTTTAAGGGGTTCCCATCCTTATTAAGTTAGTTTTATTTAGATTTTTTAAACCTTTTAAAATTACTTTAAAAGTATTTTAATAGATTACTATCTTAAGATTTTCCTTCTTAAGGTTTTATAATATCCTTCCTCTTCTATTTTTATTATTTCTATAGAAAGATATAATATTTTAAAGCTATAGATATTATTTTATCTTAAGTATTTAGTAGCTTCTCTAGGTATTCTTAAATATAAGTATATAACTCTAGTATAAGGCTACTAAAGAAGGCTAGAGCTTATTACTTCTTATTTTATTAAGGAAAATATTATTCTAGGGAATCTAGATAATAATAAAATTCTCTAGGATCCTTATCTAGGTATTAATAAGCCTAATATAATTTAATAATAATATTAGCCTTAATAGTTTTAGTATCTTAGATTAGACTTAAGGTCTAGTCCTTAAAGAACTACTATAAGTTTTTAGTATTTTATTATCTCTCTATTAATATTTTATAGATTTTAATATACCATTACTACCTGCAGGTGGAATCTATTTATATAATAATAATAATAATTTTAAATTTATTAGGGCTATATTTCTTCAGGGCTTCTTAGAATATATATTCTATATCTTAGAGCTATTCTTCTCTTTTCTAGAGTAAATATTTAATAGTAAAGATAGAAAGATTCTTAAATTTAATTTCCTACTTATCTTCTGTTAAAGAGAAGATGTTATTTTAGTAGAAGAGTTATTTAAACTTATTAACTCTTTAAATCTATTAAAGATATTTAAGTTTAGTAATTTATTATAGAATATATTATAATTTAGCCTCCTTTAACTCTTAAGATTAATTAGTAGGAGTAGAGGAGTTACTTAGATTAGAAGATATTTCTTTAATAGGATTATATTATTCTATTAGTAAAGGGGTAGAAGTAATAGCTTTATAATAAAATTTAGTAGGTATTATAATTAATACTTAGGTAGTTAAAGAAGAAAGGATTAGAAATTATAAGGATCTATATTATAGGGTAGATAGCCTATTAACTAGGTAAGAATTAGTAATGATAATTAATAGAAAAGAATGATAGAGAGTAGTAGATTATTTTATAATAAAACTAATCCTTATCTTCTTAAATATTAGATAAGGAGAATACTATTTATCTTCACTATCTATCCTAGATATATTCAGTAATGATTTAAAAGCAGCTTAAGGTATGAAAACAGGAGGTTAAAAATAATTAGGATGCAAGGGGTGGCTGCATAATTAAGTAGCTGGGCTGTAGCCAAGCCTTTACAGTAACTGTGGACTCCGCGCACGACACCATTACTAGTATCTATCTAGGGGGCAGTAGTAGCTTATTATATCTTAATTTAAGTTATTTAGTCCATGATCTCCTATAACTGCTAGGCCATCTAGGCTATGGGGTCTTCTTATATAGTATTCTATTACTATAGGCATTCCTTATTAGGTCCCTCTAGAGATATCAACATCTATAATAACATGTTATTATAACTCATACTATCTATACTGTCTATATTATCTATCTCAGCCATTCTAGCTATTTTAGCTGGTTTAGCTATCTCTTACTAGTTCTATCTAGCTGTCTTGCTGGTTCATCTATTTATCTAAGTAGTTTAGCTAGTTTAGCTATCTCTTACTAGCTCTGTCTTAACTATCTATAGTGAGTAATTTCTAATATCACAGGCTAGAAGCTATATAAATCTATAACCTAGATTTAGATGGTAAGAAATTACTAAAGAGTTTCTAACTAGGGCCGCAACAGCTAAATATAAAAAGGGGTTTATAAATAATAAGCAAGGTCACATGACTACTACTGTCCAGGTTGGATGGGAGTTTGTTGGTGCCTAAGGCAGTTCGCGAGGGCTTAGTAAGCACGAGCACCCAGCGGGCCCTGCCCGCTACATATAGAATCACATATAAAAGTGCCTGGCAGGGGCGGTGGGACCCTATATGTAGTAAGTTCTCTTCTCTCTTTCTCTTTACTTTCTACCTATATACTACTCTTCTTAGCTAGGACTAATAATGCTCTTGTACTAATAGTAGTAGCTAAGCATCCTAGATACTAGTAAAAGCCTACTTAGTATAAGTTCTAATTAAGGATATAGTCCTTATTTTTTAACCTAGGCTAAAAAAGCTATAACTCCTTATTCCTTATTACTACTAATCCTTCTACTTATATATTACCGGAACAGGTATCTCATGACCTTTCTTTGGCGCAGTGTTCTTGATGGTATGGAGAAATATAGTTGGGAGGCAAAGTCTGCCATATAAATCCTCTTGCTTGAGAGCGGTGTTAGGCCTTGATCTAACAAGCAACAATATTGTTAAAGGACTTACCAGATCGCCGTTGTCAAACCAGTTACGTCCCTGAGGGTCTTGGTGCTAAACATAGACCGTTAGAGCGCGCTGTGCACCACTGAAGATTAAGCCTGAAAGCACTCACATTGCTGCCATCCGTATATTGATGGGGATCAACCACGTAACCAAGCCATCTTCTATACAGATCCTCGGCTGTCTGCGTGAAGAACATGTACGTCGTCCGGTAAAGAATGTGATCAAATTTGTGGTCAAAATTCCAAATGCTGTCGGGGCCGCCATTCATTTTCTCTGGTGACCCTTTGTTCATAATTCTGTTCAGTTCTTTGGGTGTCCATTTCCCGTCAAGATAGATAGGATGAGGCACTTGAACAGCTTTCAGCCCATGCCACAGGGAAAATGAGGCAGCCGTCATCTCCGATGCAAGGGCTATTCCTTGCTCAACCTGTGCGAAGTGTATAGCATCCAACAAGCCTTTCGAGTACCGGCCCATCATAATTGGCGCGGCGCGGCGAGGGTCTCTCTGCGATAGATTCCAGATTACGTTTGGGAATGTCCAAGTAGTGTCGCGCGGATCAAATATGGGTAGGAATAACATAAGATCGGCTTCCTCACCAACACCCCACTCATAATGGTCATCGCGAGGGTGTGGTACTGGCGGCCTTGGTCCTATGGGACTTATTCTCGAATCAGGAGGCGTAGGACCCCAAATGCTTTCCTTATCCTCCATCGAACTTTCTACCATTTTCATAAATTCTTCCCATGTACCATGCGCCCCTGGGATATAGAAGTAAGCGTTGCGTTCCCAGAGATATTTCCTGGGTTGATTTCTGGCGAACTCCGCAGCCTTCTCAAAGAAATGGTACGAATGACCGGTTATCCTGGAGTCCATTTCCAATTGCCAGTAATAGTCAAAGTCTGGGAAGACCTGTGAGAAAATCTCTACAGGTTGTAGATGCTGATAATAAGGGCTTAAAGAGGTCAGTATGGTAACATTCAACTCGCAATATGGCGTCGAAGAACATACCTATGCTCTTCTATGGCTGGATACCAGGATTCCAGAGTCTGATTGTTGAAAAAGACAGTCATGTCATGGAACTCCTTGGGCATATATTTTTCCTTCAGTCGCTGAGCATTATCCTCTCCATTTACCGCGTATATCGGTATGTTGTTGTCCTTCACATGTGACAGGATAAAAACTTGGTACTCCGACCCTGTATGCAATGAAAGCTCCATCACCAGTGACCGCACATAGTGCTTCATGTTCTCGGTCCAAGGCATGTCATGCCACGCTCGCAAAATGACGGCGGACCTCGGCCTGGATCGCGGGAAGGATTGTTCTGGTCTGTTGTGTTGGGAAAGAGTCTCGTGAGAAATTGCAGTAAAAGGCAGCGAGTGCATGCTCAAGGGCTGTTGAGCCGACTCGTATCTGTCAGCGTTTCTTTCAAAGCATTGCTCTTGCAGGGTTTGCCAATTGACTTTGTCCCAGTCCACAGGAGGCAGTGGTCTGGCGTCTTGTAATTGAGAATCTGTTCCGGAATAGCCGTATGCACCAAAGCGGGTGTATCGATCCACACATGAAAATCCATCGAGACCTAGCGCTTCATAGGATCCAGACCTCGGGAATGGAAAGTCTAACATCAGTCAGCGCAAGTTGGTAAGATATGCGGGTGCTCTTGCCTTTGGGGAGCCCTGGATAAGCTAACACCATGTCTTCGGGGTTTGCGCGATCGAGATCTCGATCTCTGGGACCTCGGCACGCACGCTGCCTTCCTTTCCAAAACCTGCGCCACTCTGCACTATTGTAGTCGGGATAAGGGTCATAGATAGCCGGATCTATCCGCAGAGTCCTGTTCACCGGAGACAATGTCGCTGTTCCGCCCGTGTAGAATTTCTCCTCCCTATAGACTCATTGTTAGCTAATGGGCAACTATTAAGTTGGGCTTTTGAGGGCCATGACACACCTAACGTCGCGGAGTGTACCAGGGCCTGCCGGTTCGTTAGCAAGCGGGTCGTCGTCATCTGATGGTTTAATATCCCGAGTCCATCCGTTTATTGTGTCCGGCCGAAGCACAGATGGTCTGGAGGTTGACTTATGATATTCAGAGTCTAATGAGTTTGGGATTTTGTTATCTTGCATTTCTGTAGGGAGATTCCTGAGGATAACGAGAAACAGCAATGCTACCACGAAGTAGAGGATCCAGGACTTGCGTCCAGCGAGAAAGAGTGAAGGTTGGCTGAAGTGTCCTGCCATTGTCAGATCTTCCTATTCGACTGGGATTTCGGTGAAGGAGCAAGCTCTCGTATCACAAGCTCATAATAGGAGTCGAAAACACAGCCAAGAACAGGAACACAATGAGCATGGAAGCAAAGGCACCGCTATCCATCATATATTGAGTGGGGAGTACGGAGTAGACTTCATGCTGCGGTGGAGGGATGTTCCTTGGAATTTAGGCAAGTCTAGTCTTGCCACCTAATGGCCGTCACAAGAGGAGTAGTACCAGACCGTGTATGATGGTAAGTCTTCTAAGATTAACACTGACAGATATTAATAACATAACTTTAGTCCGAAGAATCGAATTTTTTCGAAAATCAAGTGGAATAAAAGAGTGGGGCTCTCTGATGGTGACAAACACAACAGTCCTATGAAATGTAATAGCTCTACTAGTCTTCTAATCCTCGTCCATTCCCCCGGTTAGGCGTTTGAGATAAGAAAAACTTCAACTTTAATATCATGTCTATCAGCCCCATGTCTACGACAGGAACCAGGGGCAGGTGGAATCCTCTGGATTAGGGAAATCCTTCAGACTAGTAAAATCCTTCAGACTAGTAAAATCCTTCAGATTAGGACAATCCTTCAGACTAATAAAATCCTTCAGATTAGGACAATCCTTCAGACTAGTAAAATCCTTTACAGTAAAACCCCGTTATCCCTTACACCGATGCCAAGTGTATCATTTTAGCGTGGAATCCGTGCGCTTAATCTAATTGGCTGGCTCAGCCATGCTAGTACTCAACCATTGCTACGAATTTTGGCAAGCCCACCAAGTTGAAATTAAGCTCAGCACGGACCTGATAAGGGGTGAGAACTATCGTCGCTTCTATGTTGCCACTGCCTACCTTAAATTCTTGGGCGTGATTGATGACTTGGTGCTTGTGATGAAGTGGACATTGGGGAGAATCATGCACTGTTAGATAGCTGATGGGAGCTGATGGCTGATCCTGCTATATAATATTAAGGGAGACCTCCTACTTTATTTTTCATTGTCTTGATTATGGAGCTCATATATTTCAGTTCATGTAATAGATGATAAGTCTCACAGAGCTTCACCAGTAATACTCTTATGGCGAGCTTTATATCCTTATGGCTGTTAATAAACACGTCCCAGAATCCTTAACAACAATTGAATTCCACAATTTTCTAATGCGCTTTCCAGAGGTTCTTGAGTTGTCTCTTGAATGACTTCAACAGGCTTTTGGTTTCTGTCTTCATTGCCTTTCTGTCTTCCTTAGACCACTCCCCAGTCTGCTTCGCCGTTCTCAGATATCGCATGTGGTCTGTAAGTATAGTTGATAGACTTTCCACGACGCACTCAGTGCAACCCTTCTCATCGGCCAGTTTATTCAATGCTGCTGACATAGTGTGCACAATCTCTTGTACCTGTGGCCTCAGCAGCTCATGGTCGAGAAGCGAGGTCTTGCTAGGTCCATGGCTCAGGCACTGCACCCTGGAGCTGGTACTAATTATTGATCCATCATTAGATCAATCGCACACGGATAAGATTTTCAAGAACTTACTATTGGTGACCAAGTTTATTTGTCTCATCGGACTCCCTACAATATATAGAGCTATCGGATTCGGGCTTGTGAGCAGCAGTGTTGAGTTGAGTCATGGTTGAACTTCGGCAGTCAGGGAGCGAGTATAATCGATATTGTGGGGATGAGGTGGTTGTGTAGAGCTGGCCTTTAGAATCGTCAATCAGTCCATTTGATCCATAGCAGATCAAGTGGCCTTCGATAGGTATATATAAGTTTAAGAATCACAGATGTTGTAAACGTTATTGAATGTCATCAAAGTCCGATATATCCGAAAATTACCTGATTTGGTTCAATGACCGGCCGGGGAAAAGTCCAAACAGCTTCGGGGTTATGTTGATAATAACAAAGCGATCAAAGGCCGATAAATC